CGTTCACCTCACGGGATACACTGGGGCCACCCGGAGCGTCAGCCGGCAGTGTCGCCGCGACCTCTGCTGCCACCCCTGTGGCTGTGACCATGGTCACTGCCATCGTTGTCGCCGTCACGGCCACCAGCAGCCACAACCACCATCACCGCCGGCGTCACGGACCGGGGCAGCACACGGGGACAGCCTGCACAAGCTGCCCCAACCAGGCCCTGGCAGGAGGACACCTCAACCGGTGGGGACGGGGCACAGAGACGGTGGCAGCAGGGGCGACGGCTGCCTCACACCCTGGCCAGAGCTGGCCCCTCCTCTCAGCCCACTCGGCCACTTTCCCAGCAGGGCGGCCCAGGCATGGGCCTCCGGATGGACACACAGGTCACAAGGCCATAGGGAGGACGACGGAGCCTCAGCCAAGGGACACCCCGCACCCACGCCGAGGGGGAGCTCCTCCAGCAGACACCGAGGTGCACCAGCCCTCACCGAGCTCTGTGGCTCCCCACCCCCGCTCCCGATGCTGCGTGCTCCCCCGGCTGCCCAGTTCCTTGACCCTCGCTGCTTAAGTCCAGGCTGTGAGCCGCTGGAGCTGCCCACTCCAGGCTGTGTCCTGCACCCAGCAAGGCCACCAAGGAGCCCTCAGGGAGCTGGCAAGGGACGGGGTGGCTCCCGGGAGGATCAAGGGCTCAGAGGGTCTCAGCCTGGGAGGGCAGAGCGGGGACGCGGGTGTCCTCCTCACGCCCCTATGGGACCTGGCCACCGCTCCCCACACATGCACAGGAGGCTCCAGAGAGGAGCCCCAGGGCCACAGCAGCCTGGACAGCGCGACCTCCGCACAGCCCACTCTCGCTCCTGCCCGGGAGAGTGGAATTCCAGCAAAGACTGCGTCAGTGGAAAAGCCAGGCTCCTGGAATGGGGCCCAGGGATTAGGACAGCACTGGGCCCCTCCAAGCACTGAAGCACCGTGGCCGGCAGAGAACCGCTGGCTGCTTGGCCCCGACACCATCGCCCCCACTAGCGGGGCTCCGGGGAGCCGACTTTGGGCTGTTTGGTGCTGCTGCCCCTTGAAACAGGCAACAGCTTCAAAGCACATTTGGCTCCAGCACACAGCCCACTGGCGGGCTGCTCCCCGGCCGTGTCCTCCACACCCTGCAAAAGGAGGGTCCTTCAGCCGTGGGGACCTCAAGCCAGGCACCCAGGTCCTGCTTTGCCCCATGCCCACATGAGCAGCCCACCACCCTTGTTCCGTCCGGCCCCAGCGGTGCCAGGACACAGGGCGGGCTCAGTGGGTCTTGACAGCACCGTGCAACTGAGCGGCCCTGAAAGACACAACAGCTGGCTCCGCCTCTTCCCAGAAGGCTCCAGGCTTCACAGACTCCCAGGGCCAAGGGGGCTCTGTCGTCCTATGAAGGAGGGGCCACAGGAGCAGAGTGCCCGAGGCCCAGGGCGAGGCCAGGGCACCGGAGGAGCAGCAGTGGTCCAGCATCTTGCCTGGGGCCCTGGGGCCCATCCTGATGAAGGAAGGGCATGCGGCCCCTCAGAGGTCACGCTCTGCTGCCATCTCGCCAGGTGACCCTGAGCGAGCTACTCAGCCCTCCAGGCGACGGCTTCCTGAGCTCCAAGGTGCACAACGTACACCTGTGATCCCAGCACTCTGAGAGGCTGAGGCAGGAGGATTACAAGTTCGAGCTCTGCCTGGGTGACTTAGCAACTTAGCGAGACCCTGTCTCACTCAAATTTTAAAATATAGTAACAAAAAGGGCTGGAGCTCAGTGCAAAGGCCCTGGATACAGAAAGGAAGGAAGGAGGGAAGGAAGGAAGGGAGGGAGGGAGGAAGGAGTGAGAGAACAAGAGAGGGAGGAGACAGAGGAGGGAAGGGAAGGGAAGGCAGAGCCAAGACCCCTGCGCCAGGCTGAGGGTGGCACAGGGCGGAGCTCACAGCGCTTTCCCCTCCCAGATGCCACCGCTCTCCCTGGCTGTCACGTCCGTGTTCCCAAGCACACGCTGTGGCTCCTGACCCGGCCCGACGTGAAGACCTCTTTCTGCGCCCCACTTCCTCACAGCAGAGCCCCGACTGCCCGGCACCTCCTGCACCTCGCGCTGGGGCACATCCCGGAGGAGACTGGACAGGGGACCGGCGGCCACTTCTTTCCTGGGGGCTGCTGGGCTCAGACCCAGGCGGCGGTGTGGCCGCAGGGCGCCTCTCTCGCCAGGTGAGCTCGGAAGACAAGGGCTACCAGCTCTGACGACAGGAGCCAGGTCACTGCTGCCGGTCACGCCCCTCAAAGGTGCGGAAGGTTCACACAGCCTCCACTCTGCACCCCACAACCCCCGGTGCCAGCCCATCATGCCCACTTCGCAGAAGAAGACCTGGGTTCAACGTCTCCAGCCAGAAAGATGGACCGGGAAGGCCAGGGCCGCGGGGCCCAGGGCCTCGGCCTCTCTCTGCACTCGGCTTCCTCCTGGGGGCTCTGCGGGGGACTGGGCGCTCTGCCTCCCTGGACGGCAGGTGCTGAACTCAGGCCCAAGTGGGGGGCAGAGGAGGAGGGAGTGGGACCAGCGGGGCTGCCAAGGCCACACGCCCAGGCCGAGGGCTCCTTGCCACAGGAGGCCCTGTCCGCAGCGTTCTCCCTCAAGTCCTTCAAGCTGGACAAGGGGCCTCTGTGTGGCCGGGGCCGCTGCAGGAAAGTCCCGGAGACCCCAAAGCTCTCCAGCACTCGGCCACGTGCTCTGCGGACACCCCGTGCCTGTGCCAGCCGCAGCTTGGCCTCCACCTGCACGCCCAGGCCCTTCCGGCTCACTCAAAGCTGTGCAGAGCTGTGGGACAAACTGGCTTTTAATGAGTAGAAATCACCTTCCGGGGGAAGGATGTGGCTGCTGGAGAGAGTTTCCACAGTGCCGCCCTCTCTGACTTAAGCTCCTTCTAAAAACGCCAAGCAGTGAAAACCGCAGTGTCATTACTTGGAATCTTTTGGAAGCAAAGCGTTAAATGACTTGCACTTCAAAGGGCACAGAAATTCCGTTCCCCTGGCAAGGAGACCAAGGGCAGCGCAGACGCAGACGAGGGAGCTCTCCCACCTTATCATTACGGCATTAAGGGAACAGGAAGGGAAAAGGGCCCCACGGGTCTGTCTCTCACGGCACTGCTGCACTCGCTGGTCTTCATTAAGGAAGACAGGTCCAATTTCCCGCCGTGAGCACAGCTAACAGCCAGGAAACCCTGGGGCTGGGAAAACACTGCCTCAGGACCATTAACAACTTGTGGTCAACAAAAATCCCTGGCTCCCGGCAGCCATGCGCTCAAATCGAATTCTTCCACAGGAGAGACGGGCTGTCCAGAAACCCAGAATTCACGGGCGATCCGGCTGAGAGCCCGGCTGGTGTAGGCTGCAGAGAAGATCAGGCCAGATGGGCAACACCAGGCAAGGTCTGTGTGTTTGTGGAAACAACACGGTGTTTTCACTCCTTAGTGATACAGCAGCAGGCAGAAGCCAGGGCTTGCTTGTGTGGGGCACTGATGTGCGTATTTCCCACAGATTAATCCCCGCGTGTGTCTCTCACACCCAACACGGGTGTGATTATTGTCCCCGTTGTCCAGATGGGGAAACTGAGTCACCGACAGGTTATAGAACTCAGCCGTGCTATGGCAGCCGGGGGATTGGGGAGCTGAGATTCACAGCCCATCCTGGCTGCAGACCGCCGGTGCCTCCAGACAGCAGGAGAGTGATCTACACATGTGCTTCAGGGAAAGGGCTCCTTCTTGCTCAGTTAGGAAGTCAAAGAAGCGGTATCAGTCTTAGGATCCTGTTTTTAATGATGAGATAAAGCTTTTCCCTGGATCTTTACAATAAAAGGCACATCGTGAGCGCACACGTGAGCTAACACAGAGGGTTGGCACAGTGCAGAGTGCGGCTACCACAGAGTGAAGTAATTCGGACCCAATGCCCTGGCCCGTCCAAGTCAGGATCCTGGGCCACCGGAAAAGGTACAGCAGTGGTGGCGGCAGCAGTGCCCAGCTCCAGTGCTGAGCAGCACCAAGGGCACACCCCAGCTCTCGCAGCGCCATGGCCATCATCCCCACTCCACCAAGGACAGTCCCAAAGCTCCTCAGTGCACTCGCACTGCTTGGATCTTCCCAGCAGCCCGGAGGTAAAACCAGCACTCAGTGCGGTCTGCGAGACCCCCAGCCAGCTCGCAACACCTGCTCCCCGGAACAGCGCGAGGCCACTGCCCACACAGCCAAGGCCAGGCCCGGCCAACCCTCATCCCCAAGGTGTCTCCATAACCTGCACACCCAGGCGTTGTCGGCAGACCCAAGCACCTGGCCTGCCCCACAGAACATCCAGGCCGCCGCGTCCCGGAAACCTGACCCACGGAAGGGCAGACACATCCAGCAGTTCCAGCGTCACACCACGTCTGCCTCCCACCTCCCAACAGGCCACCTGCCCTCCCCACAAAAACAGCTGCTTGGTCTCTCCCGGCTGTCCACACTGGACCACTGGGCTCAGGCCTTGCTGTCCACCGGCACTGACGCCGGGTTAAAACCCAGAACAATAGCAACTGCTGTTTCTCCATCGCTGTCCACAAGGAGGCAGCCTGCTGCACCTGTGTTCCACCCCGGCCCTGAGACGCGGCCACCTTTACAACCCCATGTTACACATGGAGACACTGAGGCTGAGCATCACTCCAACACCCAACAGAGCCGAGCGTACCACCCAGGCGGCCATACACAGTCACACTTCACGTCCACTATAGCTTCTACAATGAGGTACATGCGTTCTTCCCTCGTGGCCACCATCACAGGGCTGTGTCCTTGCCCTGTTCCCACTGGCAGACACCGTTGCTGTCAACACAGATGTGGCGTCCACATGTGGCAAGCTCGGTGGCCTGTTCCCAGCGTGGTACCCGTGTTGAGCCGACACCACATCCAGCTTGGAGCCGGGGGGACTCAGTCACCAGCAGCCTGTGTCCCCAGGCGGCACAGGGACCACTCCATCCCCACTGCTCACCTCAAATACTTCCTCGTCCAGGATCCGAGTGCCGAACACAATGATGCCGTTGACATCTATGATGGGATGGTCGCTGCGGTCGAGGAACTTCGTGGTCCTCTTTTTACAGTCCAGGATTAAGGTGACGTTCTTCTTGTGGACACTGAGAGCAATTCTGTGCCACCTGCAAGGAAACGGGTAGCCCAGGGGCTTAGGGGAGCTTGCGCTGCAGAAGCCCAACTTGGGAACCTCACTGCAGACCCCTCCAGCCCCAAGGAGGGAGCCTCTTCCCCGCGGTTCAAAGTCTAAACCACAGCTCGGACACACGTTCCAGCAACACTGCGGGCCACCACGAGGGCTCCTCAGCCTCCCATGACCTCAGAATCCCTGTGTCCTCCGGCAAGGACAGCTTTCAGATCCCCGTAAGCTCATCAGGACGCTCAAGGGAGCAGCCGGACACCGGCCAGTGTCACAGCCCTCAGCAGCAGTGGGAGGGAGGCCGAGGTGCAGGGTGACATTAGCGTGAAGGTCCCAGTCTGGCATGTGGCACCTGAGCCCTAAGACAAGCTGCAGACCACTGGACGTGGTAGAATCAGCACACACAAGTCTTAGGAAGGACACAGAATCACCGCCTGTCCCAGGACCTCAGGCGTGTTGGCCATGGAGGAGGCCACGGCATTAGGGATCTCCAGAGAAGTCCAGCGAGACCTGCCTTTGTTTTAAATCCCCCACTGTATGTGTCACCACTCAGCAAGTCCCTTCTGGAACAACTACACGCTTCCAGCACCCCCTCTGACAGCTGGTGCTTTGATTCATTTCACAAAGGGAAAAGAAGGCCCAGGGAGAGCAAGAAATGCAAACGATGAACTAAGACTGGGCCCCAGGCCTCAGAACTCCTAGCCCAGGGCTCCCTCCCCCAGGTGCCACCGCCACACGCCTTCCGAGATGCCCTCGCACCCGCGGGTCCGGCGGGCTGCTCCCTGCCCCGCAGGAGGACAGGGTAACAACCCACGTGCCACGTACTTGCCATCCGACAGGTTGATGCCCCTGAAGAGTGGGTACTGCTCGGGCCCGGGCTTCCCGGTGTGGTCCTCATAGAGGAAGACAGGCGAGCGGCCCATCTCCAGGCCGATCTGCTGGATGCCCTGCTCGTTGTAGATGGAGACCAAGAAGGCCTGGCTGCCTTTCTTGGCTTTCACAGTGGTCAGGATGGAGAAGTCCTCGGGAAATGCAGAGGCTGGAACAGGAGGCCGAGATGAGGAGGCTGCAAGCCAACCCACTGGGGACCTTTGCTGCGTGTGGCACTGCACCTCCAGCTGCCGTACATGCCCTCCGCTCACCCTGGTCCTGCAGCCCTTCTCTGCCCGCATGACCAGCCTGTCCCTTCGCGCCTCAGTTCAAGTGCAAGCCGCTCCGCAGAACCAGACTGGTCGTCTCCATTCCTACATCCGCACAGAACCCTGGCTGCAACCTCCTAGACCATGACTCTCCCGGGGCGGAGCACCCTGGTGGCCATGGGGTGTCTAAACTATGCTGGACGCTGTCAACATCAACACCCCCTGCAGAGGGCGCCGGGCGGGGGGCAGGAGAGGAAAAGAGAGGAGAGGAGGTGCCAGCCCCGTGAGGTACAGCCTGGGGCCACAGCTAGAACTGCGCTTTCTGAGACCTCCTGATTATGCAAAATGGAAAAAGTCCAAAAACTCCCAACACTTCAGTCCAGATTTAAAATATTAAGAAAAACAATTCTCCTATAGGTGGCCAGGAGGGAGTGCCCCTTACCACCCCGGCCAGAAACAATCTCATCAAAAGCAGAGCCAGGCTGACGCTGAGAGGCCCCACGACCACCCCTCTGTGCTGCCCTTGGCCCCAGGCACACCGGGCACCTTGGCTTCCCCCTTGCGATCGGTCCTGGGGGTGAAGTCAGCGATCCCTTCACAGGAGCAGTCTGCAGCTCTGCGGTGCACACAGGAGCTGGGAGAGTATGCAGCTCGCTGAGAAATGCCCAGCCCAGGGCAGCACGCCTCCCAGACCCAGCAGAGGTGTGGGAGGTCAGCACAGACCCACAGGCCGAAGGCGAGGGAGGAGCCCACTGCTGGAGCCACCCCAAACCTCCTAGCTATAAGTTGGACTGACGGGCTTGGACAAGACTGCACTGCCAGCCCCAACCGTTCAGAACTGGAACAAGGTCAACCAGATGTCCCAAAAGGCCACAGTTGCAGCTGGTGAATTGCTGAGCTGGGATCTCACGGCAGCTTCTGGGGAACGCTATCCGTGAGCGCCCTCTGCTGATGGAATCCAGCACTGCAGCTGCCGTGCTGTGACTGACCCGGGGGGTGGACAGGACACCTGCCTGCTGGATCTCCACTTCCGCTGAAGGACACGCCAAGGGATCCTATGCAGGGCTGCACTGCGCCCAGCAGGAAGGAGTGGGAGAATCCTCCCCTCCAGCTGTGGGGTCTCCGGTCCCTCGCTAGGGGTCTCCCCAGGGAAGGTCAGCATTGGGACCAGCTGCTCCCAGGGAACCAATGCAAGGCGGGACAGCTCCTAGCAGCGGACGGTGGCCAGCAGGAGGCAGGTCCCCAGGAGGAGAGATTCCTGCTGCTCTCACTTCCGCACAGGAAGTCGCCTGGGAGGAAGGCAGAGAGGCGACCCCTGTCCACAGCCACAGGCTTGACACTGCCCCCTCAGGACTGGGGCCAGGAAATCGCGCGACCGGGATCTGGGAGGAAGGCAGAGAGGCGACCCCTGTCCACAGCCACAGGCTTGACACTGCCCCCTCAGGACTGGGGCCAGGAACTCACAGTCAGCAGGCACCCCTGAGGGCAGGGCGCCAGATGGACCCCGACCGGCCGGGCCACGGCGGAGGCCTGGTGGTTCTTGTCCCTGAGACTGAGCAGGCACCAAGGACCTGGGATTGTGTTTGACCAGAGCAGCCCAGAAGTCCCTGTCAATTACGATCTCCTCACTGTCGTCTCAGAGGGTCGCCTGCCTCCGTCCCCACCCCAGCACGCTACACCGTCACACTGCCTGAAGTATTGGCCAGCACGGCAACGGGGGCATCCACTTCCTCCAGTATCGCACACTGCCTAGGACCCTGACCCCATCCTCCCCGGTCATTCAAATGCTGTTCCTCGATTTATAAAATTGCTAGTGTAACTAATTTTCTCAGCTCAGATAAATTATGTTTAATATAAATGTCTCTCCTGGCAAAATAACAGCGGATTTCTAGTCTCTTTACCACGTCCACGTTTGTTGCAACTCAGGCCGGGCCACAGGCGGGTGGTTAGGGAGTGAGTCCCTGCCTGACAGTCAGAAGTCGCTGCTGAGGGGCCGGGGCCAGTCCCACCCTCGGATCCTTTCCTTCTCTCTGGAGCTGCGCCCAATGGCACTTCGGACACGAGGAATACAGTGGGGTCTAATAAATGCCTCTGCGATCAGTCCGACTGTGCCAGGCTCTAGGGAAACACAAAGAAGAGCCAGACGCGGGCCCTGCCCCAGGAAATGATGGAAACAAGTGGATCTGAGGGTGTGGCCCACTTCGGAAGCTGCCCGGGACCCGGGGGCGGCCCAGGTGGCTCCCGGCTGAGGGCCTTACTGAAGGAGTCCTGCCCGACTACGAGGGCTCCCCTCGTCTTGACACAGTGTGGACCCACAGACACACCCCATGGGCGGCCCAGGCCGGCCCAGCCTTCCCGGGCAGCTCCCAGCAGACACCGAGCTCCTGAGACCTGACAACTGCCAACCTGCCCAGGGGACACCGTACAAATCCCTCTGGAGCCACACGGCCAGGAAGGTCACCTTCAGGGCCCCAGCAGGGCAGGGGGCCGACAGGGGCTCCACCGCTCGTTAAAAAGGCCCTGATTCTGGGGTGACTTCAGGGTCACTTCCAGGCCAGCAGGAACGAGCCGGGTCTTCCAGTAACTAAGACAACTCCCGGCCTGCCACCTGTCCTGTTGTCTAACTCGGGCCGGGCCCGAAAAGCACCAGTCACCCACCCATTCACACCTGTCCAGAGAAGCCGGGAAGGTTTCATTCACTCGGGTGACAGGACTCCCCCGCCACAGCGGACAGGGGCATCTTGCAGCTAACAGACAGATCCTGTCATGAAAAGCCGAGATCCGGCGCTTGACAGTGGGTTCTCATCAGAAGCCTCACGTGCCTGCCGTGAGTCAGGACTTCGATTCGTGTATCTCTTAGGGTTGCTGCTGCCCCAGTGAAGCTGCTGCCTGTGTGCACTTCCTTGCTGTCCCTGTGCTTTCTCCTGGCCTGATCCCAGGGACGCCCTCTCCACGGCGCGGCTGAGCCCCGGCAGCCACTGCACCCTGCCTCCCCGCTGCCGCCCCTGGAGCAGAGCCCCGCGCCCCTCACCAGGGTACAGCTGCTTGGTGGGCGCGCTGAGCTGAGCGTCTTTGGTGACTCGGTAGGCGACATCCGGGACCTTGGAGGATCGTCGCGTGGCGCAGAATCCCGTGGTCTTCGTTATCCCATCCGGCAAGGTGTGGAAGTCCAGAGCCTTCAGGAGATCCGCTGGCTGAGCTGCAAGGACAGGGGTGAGTCAGCCTCGGAGGGAAAGCAGGGCCCGAGCTGCCAGGACCTCCAGCCCTCTGAGTGGGACGAGCTCAGGGCCAGGGGCCAGGGCGGCACAGCATTGTTGTGCACCAGGAGATGTGCTGGCACCCCACACGCGGGAGCCCCAGGCAGGGGGCAACGCCACTGCTGTCCTGGGATGTGGGCTTGGTCCCAGCTCCCGCCCCACAGCCCCAGGGCCTTTGTACCTCCCGAGTGTGTACGGCCATCAGCACTTAGTCCCTTATTGCCCCCGCATCTCAGGGGAAGGACCCTGCATCCCTCCAAGGTCCCCGACCCTCGCCCTACAGGGACTGCAAGAGCAGAGCAGAGCAGAGCTGAGGCTGGGGAGAAACTGACCACTGACCAACCACAGCCACTGCGTCCACTCGAGAGCGGCTGCTCCTCCCACGCGGTGGCCCCTGCCCAACAGCTCATGTCCTGCAAGCCCCGCTCACTGCACACTGGCGTCCAGGCAGGAAATGGGCTGCAGCTTGTCACCACAGCAACAGAACAAGTGTACACCTGGAGCACCAACCTAGGGTCCCAGGACCTCACTGCCCATGTCCACCCCCCTCCAGGGACCAACCCGGATGGACAGGCCAGACCAGGGGCTCTGCTCTGGGCTCTCTCATGGAAAGGAGGAATCACCAGGACCGGGAGATTGTCTCGGGGTAAAGAATGCAGTAAGACTCCTGCCATAACACCTAAGCGCCTAGATCAAGCTGTGCCTGATCAATAAATCCACCTGTATGCTTACACCCCTGGGGACCCGATCCCTACATGTGCTAGTAAAACACGCAGTGCCATCTCTGGTACCCAAGCAGGCTGCCTCCTGGACCTGGGTGCCTCCTAAATGACCATGCTCGGCAACTCTGGGCCTTCCTTCACAGGGACTCAATAGGAAAGCCCTCCTTATGAGGCAGCCATGGATAGTCAGGAGGGAAGGAAGGGCAGTCAGCTCTGAGGGCCCTGCAGTACCCACTGCCCTACCTGGGACGCAGGATGGCCACAGCCTGCCTGGCCAGGTGAGCCCCTCACAAGAGGTGCGGCCGGCAGAGGGCCCAGTCTCCCGGGAGGGCTGCAGCCCGAAGGGAAGCGGACAGCAGGCCGGGTGTTCAGGGCAGGCACTGGGCATGGCACACAGGACCCCTGGAAGTGCAGGCGGTCAGCTGGGGCGAGAAAAAGCAGCCTGGCCCAGGGTCTGAGGACAGGGACCTTGGAGGGAGGGAGAGATGCGGAACCACCTGCCCCCAGGGAGCCACCACCCAGGTCCACACTGCCCAGAGCCGGGGTCCAGGAGGTTCTGCCCCAGGAACGCGGCTTCCACAGCCGGGCTTTGCCGCACCCGCTGTCTAAGGCCTCTATTTCCGCAGAGGCCACTGCAGGCAGCAGGGGGCACCACCGCGCAGCCGGCCCTCCTGGTCCAGGCCAGGCTCCTCAGAATCACCCCCGGTGGCCCCGGTGATGGTCCTGGGTGGTCCCGGGCTCGGCCGCAGCAGAGATCCACGTGACGTGTGCGTGCGGTGC